AGTATTAACTAGACCTATTGTAGTAATTATTTTACAATGCATATATATATCAAATAATTATGCTGTATACCTGAAACTAATATAATGTTATATGTCAATAATACCTCAATAAAAATAAATTATGGATAAAATTTTAAAATGAGAAATATTATAAATAACTCTGAAAACAAAAGAAATGGTAAATCATACATTGCAAATCAATAAGAAGGTGTGTGGTAAAAAAAAAAATTAAAAAAAATAAAGGAAAATAGCCAACAAATAAAATAAATATAAATGAAAAAAAGGCAAATGCTAGATAATAAAAGGAGATGCAATCTCAAATAATTTTTAGAAGTTCTTGTGGTCAAGAGGAAAATGATTGGGAAGAGGTAAGTTTTGGAGAAAGTTTAAACAAATTTTTTATTTCTTTAAACCTTCATTTGTTTAAATTTGTAATATTCTTTACTAATTAAAACACTTTGTGATTTTAAGGACATAAAATATAACTTATAGAACTTTACTTGATCACTAAAATAATTATGTTTTAAAAGTGCAGTTGTCTAGGGTTATTGCAATTTTTTTTAAAAAATAATGCTATCAACTGTAGAACCTTACTGTCAATTTATGAGAAACAAGATGAAAGTTCTATAATAATAAAAGCATAATATGCTAATTAGACCAGGTGACCTACCAGACAACCTTCTAGACCAAGCAGGGACTGTGAGGGAAGCCCGGGTTCCAGGTGCCAGAGGGAAGCCGGTGCCGGAAGTTGGGGGAAGGAAGGCCTGCTCTTGCACATATTTTGTGCATCGGGCCTCTAGTAATATAAGAAGCTATAAAGGCCATCATCTATCAATTGAAGCATGCAAATTGACTGCACCTTTGCTACGCCTACCAGCCCCGCCCACCAGCCAATCAGGGTGGGTATGCAAATTAACCCAGCCAAGATGGCGGTTAACTTACATATCCAGTCCAGAGTGAAGACTGAAGACCATAGAAAGAAGCCAAGAGCTGCAGAGAAGCAAGCAGGGCAGCGGAGAAGGGAGGAAGGCAGAAGACTGGAGCGGGAAGCCCTATTGCAGGAACCTTCCTGCAAGGGGCATCTAGTTATTTTATAATCATCTATTGGATATAGAAATATATTTTAAAGATGCCAAAAAACAGAAATAAAAATAAATGTATTCAGGGAACCCTTTTGCCTCAAAGATGTTAGTCTAATAGTAAATGTCCACATTAAGTGCTGAGACAAAGAGTCTGATTGCCACTGACTAGGTACATTAGTATATACTTAGGATGGTCCTTTCTTTTCTCTGAGCCTCATGTTTCATCTTTAAGATCAAGGAGTTGGATTAAAATGCCATCTGATTCTAATTTAACATGATAGTTCAAAAGCTACAGTGGTGGAAGCTTTGGTTCCCCACCCAGATTGCCGCCCTAATGAAGGGCTGATTCACCCAGCCACTAGCACTACTGGTGGTTGACGGCTCTTACCTGCATCCCTCTCTAGAAGTTGCCCTTGACCAAAAAGATCCACCCAGCTCAACGTAGTGGCCCCTTTCTGGGAGCCACTTGTATCCAATGACTGGTCCATTAGGGGACACAGAGTGCGGGCCCTCACGCCTCCATTCAGGATATCTCTGCAGGCCACCTCAGACTGGGAGCTCCCTGTGGTCTTTGTGGCATCTGCAGCACAGTTCAGCTTCTCCTTCTGCCCAGTCCAGCATGCTCCACTCCCTACTCGGCATTGAACTTGAGTGTACCCAACATACTTCCTGCAAGCAAATTCCCACATTAGGGTCTGCTCTGGGGGAAACCTGAGATGGAACAAGCACTAAATAAATCTCTGCGACTTCTGTGAAAATAACAGTGTCTCCTGGAGGCAGAAATATTTTATTTTGGGTTTTGGACTGTACTTATTGTCATAATCAGGAATTATGAAGCTGTTAATAGTCCAATACAATAGGTCCTTGGGTTACCTCGTAGATATGTTCCTACCGTGTGACAAAATGTGATTTTTGTCATAAGTCAGAACACACCTACATAAGCACCTACGTCACTCACATGGAGCACATACACAGCAGTAATGAAGTGAAACAGTAAAATAATTTAAAAGAAAGATAATTCCTGATCTTACTTGTGGTAAATAAATAATAATAAAAAAAACATAAAACACATATGTACATATGTTGAAATAACGGAACTTTTTTTTATATAAATAAATGGGAGATGGCAACATAACCACAAAACAACGTACGTCGAGTCCAACATAACTCAAGGACTGTCTGTAATTGCTTTCACAAAGCATGATAAAATATTTTAAAACTATTTCAGAGAAATAAGATTAGGTAGAAATGTAGAGAACATATTCTACATTTTAGATGAGAAATTGAAATTTTCACTCACTAGTTTAACAGTAAAAATATTATACATATTGTTGTCTAATTTTTCAATTAAAAAAATAGCGAATCTTTTTTTCCCCCAAACCTTTGCTTCTCTAAAAATAAAATAGAGCCTGGTACCAATAACTTTTTTTTTTTTTTACATAAGTCTATAAAGAAGAAAAAATACAGAGACCAAAAATAGCCATATTTATATATAAAAGGCTAGACTGATCCTACATCCGTCCAACCATCTGACCGACCAACCAACTGGCCAGTACATATGACCAGCACTAGCAATTTAAAAATAAATGTTGACTCGCACATGTGAGTACATATAAAGCTCTCTTAGTGGTGCCAATTGCACATGTGTGTTTTGATTTGTTATTGTTGATCATGAATTTGATTGTTTTTGTGGACATTTCTATTACAGAGAAAGGGCAAATAGTAATGTTAAAATATTTCTTCTAATTAATTTTCTTTCCATGTGCATGAATCCATGCACCAGGCCACTAGTGTATATAACAAGAGGTAAAAACAAGTATTCTTAAGGAGCAGAGAATTAAATTAGAAGATGAAATACAAATGAAAGCACAGGACATATTTTTTAAAACTTATTAGAATTTGAATGAAAACCCATACATAATAAATATCATTGTTCACAATTTATAGGTATTACTTTAACCAGTTTTTGTGTGAATTCGGTGGAATTCTTTTCTTTTAAAGTTTTTTTTAAGAACTTTAGTAAAAATGTTTCTTTCCCCAGTTTCTCTTTTTCTGTCTTCTTGATTACTTTTTCCTCTAATGATAAAGGTTTCATGTCCAATACATATGCCTTTCCTATTGGAGAAACTCCCCCGTTCATTTTATAGTTTACTATTGCCTCTTCTTTACATATCTTAATTTCTTCTACATTCTTAAACAAAGGAACTTTTAAATTGAAATGGACCTTGAAAAGGCAATTGGTAGACACATTTTCACTAACATAAATTCAACTGCCTCCTCTGCAATTCCACATGGGATGGTCTACCAAATAACCTGGATATTTCTGAGCTCCTCGGAGCTTGGCAACCAGAGAAATCCTGAATCCTGGTAAAACAGGAACAGCTGATTTAGCAAGCATGGCATGATTGTGCCTCTGATCCCTGCCAGGATAACACAGGGTCTTATTTACTGACTCTTGTCTTGGTGCTTCTAAGTAGGTCCTGTTACTGTGTACTTACCCCCTAGCCTTAGGCCTGGAACAATGTTGAACATAGTGTCACTGGCCCTGGTGCCAGACAGGATCAGGGGCTCTGGAATATTTACAGTTTCCCTTCTTCTGCTTCCATAAATGAAACAAGCCGTATGAATGGAGGAAACCAAGGGCCAGCTGGCTAAAGGCACAACTGGCAGCAGAGCACTTGGGCTCTGTCCAAGAGCTGGTGTTTAAAGAGAGGCCATTTAAAGAGCACATTCCAACCGCCATAATAGCAGTGCAGGACGCTGGCTGTATGATGAAACAGGCACATTTTACGCAGAAAGATTTTCGTTTCCAAAGTTTAGAACCTATTATATATAAATGCCCCACTTCTTAAAAAATCTTCTAGTTTTAGAGTCAATCCCTTAAAATAGCCAATGGCAAATGGCAAACATATATACTTTGATAATGTTAAATAAATTCTGTCCCAGGATGGCCGAAGTGTTATTTTGGCTTAAGCTCATTCATACAAAATAAGTAAAAAGTGTTGAGAAATGGAGAAGGAAACAGAAAAGACAAGAAATGACACCAGAGTTTAGATGGGACAGCATGGCAGATGGCCAAAGACACTTAAACTAATTTGGGAGGTCATTAATATACCATGAGGCCAACTGACAAATAGAGGCAGATTTCCTTTGTTGAATAAAATATTACTCCTATTTTGATAGTTAAGAAAAAAATGCAATAATCTCTTGAGGGGGGAAATCATCTTGGAGCCTGGAAATCTAGAAGACAAATTATACAGGTTTTTTTTTTTCTTGCTGGGTTTTGATCATGACAACCATGCGCTGGCCTTTTATTAACTCTAGAATCTCTGCTTGGTGCCAAATCAGAAATATACGTGACACTATATTCAAGGAAATAAATTTAAAATCAAAACAATTCGCCCTCACTGGTTTGGCTCAATGGATAGAGCGATGGCCTGTGGACTCAAGAGTTGCAGGTTTGATTTTGGTCAAGAGTAGGTATGTATTATACCTTGGTTTCAGGCACATCCCCAGTAGGAGGTGTGCAGGAGGCAGCTGATTGATGTTTCTCACTCTCGTCGATGTTACTAACTCTCTATCCCTCTCCCTTCCCCTCTGTAAAAAAAAATCAATAAAATATATTAAAAATTAAATAAATAAAATCAAAACAATTCTACATTTTAGGAGATCATAATTATTGCACAATCTGGGAGCAGATGAGTTTGAAAGTGAACAAAGCTACCCCTCTTGATAGATGATGATAGATAGATAGATAGATAGATAGATAGATGATAGATAGATAATTGGCAAGAGAAATGAAGGGGAAGGGGGGAAAGGAGTTCAACAGTCAGGGAGGTACCTGGCGCAGCCGTCCTGATACTATAAAACCGGGAAATGGGTAAAGCCACTAGTTGGAGACCCCGTGGAAGGTATTACCTCGATGTAGGGCACAATCTTGCAGGAGAAGTCTTCCAGCAGCCATTTCTTGGTCAGCTCATGGAAGATGACGAGCGGGAGGCAGAAGAAGATGATCAGGAAGTCCCAGAAGGCCAGGTTAGCCAGGAGGGAGTTGGAGATGCTGCGCATGTAGTAGTTGTGGCACACGATGCACATCACCGCCAGGTTGCCTATGATGCCGGTGCCGAAGATCACCACCGACAGACACATGACCGCGTACGCCCCGTACGACTCCGGGGTCAGCGGGTAGAAGGGGTTCTTGAGGCGCAGGCGCCGGCTGGTGCTGTTGCGCCGGCGGGGATCCTCGCGTTCGTGCACCCCTTCCCCCGAGGAGGACCCATTCTGAGCCAGCGCCCTCCCGGGGGGCGCGATCACCCGCCCTTCGCGCCCCAGGGGTCCGCGGACCGCCTTGGAGGGCGAGTCGCGGTGGGAACCCTGGTGCCTCCCGGCTCTCCTGGGCCAGTAATAGAGGTCGCTGGCTTCTCCGGGTTCCGTCCTCACCCCGGGCTCCTGGCTGCGCCCCAAAATGCCAGCGCCCCTGGGACCCTTCTCCTTCTCCTCTGAGGTCTGCAGGAAGAGCTGGAGGCCAGTGGGGTTCCCTCTCCCCAGAGGCCCGGGGGGCTCCGGATCCCGGGCCCCTCTCCACCTCCAGGAGCCGCCGGGTGGTCTGGCTGGAGGTCCCGAGGGCTCCGCTGCCGCCGCCGCCTCCGCTCCTCGGCCCGCCCTGGGGCCGCCGCTCCGGGCCGCTGGCAGGTCCCCCGAGGGCGCGGCGTGCTCCGCGGCTCCCGGCTCCCGCACCCGGGGCGCGCGGGCGCGCAGAGGGGCATCCCCGCCGCGCCGCTGGCCCAATGCAGGTGAGCAGCTCGCCCCCAGACAAGTTGCGTTCCGGGGCGCAGGGGCGGACCCGCGAGCAGCCGAGGCGGAGACCTGGAGCAGGAGCAGGAGCGGGAGCAGGAGCTGGAGCAGCCGCCGCGGGGTGCGGGCGGGAGGCGCGCTCCTGCCCGGCATGGCTCGCGGCTCCCGCTTAGGACCGACACCTGCTGCCCAAGTTGCTGCTGAGAGTGAGACACATGTCACCTACCCCCGGCCCGGAGATATACCCGGAGCTTTGGGGGGGAGGGGGTGGGACGGGGGTCACCACCCTCCGGCGCTACGATCCTTCCTCGTCCGGCGCCCGGTGCATGTCTCAGCCAAATCTACCCGAGCGCGGCGAGTCCCCGCGGTGCCGAGAGGGACGCTCCGCTCCGCTCCCGGCGGCTGCTGACCTTGAAAAGTTGCAGCCGACACCTGACTGCCGATGAAATGTTGCGCCTGGGAGAAGCCCCGCGCTCCTCCCCGCCTCGGGGCGATGCCTTCTCGGTAACGGAGGCTCTGCCTATTCACATCCCGGTGACGCTGCCGCTCCGGGGCCGGCGGGGTGAGCCGGGGGGAGAAGTTCACCGCCTCCCGGTGACTAGTAGCTGCAAGCCCGTCCCCGCGCGCTGGAAACAGGTTGCCAAACAGCCAGCCGCTGCACAGCTGCGTCCGGGAAACTCTTGCCTCCCTTCCCCACCCCCAACCCCCCCAACCCGGGCGCCGGGCGAGGCCACAGCTGCCCGGGAGAATGGGGACTGGAAACCCGCAGCCGCGGTCAAAGTTGCTGCTCCTCCGGCTCAAAGTTGGCCAGGAGGAGGCGCGGGCTGCGGGGCGGAGAGTCCCCGCGGAGAAGGCACCGGGGAGGGGAGGGGTGGAGATGAGAGGCGGGCGCTGCTCCTCGGTGCACGGTGCCCGCGGGCTCAGGAGCGTGTGGCTGCGGCAGCCGGTGCAGCCCGGGCGGGGAGCGCGGTGCCTGGAGCCGCCGCGGACGAGGCGGTGCCGGGTCGGGCAGGGAGGGGGCGGCGGCCCGGCCTCTCCCCGCGGCTCCGGCCGCTGCGCGCTCTGCCTCCTCCCCCCCGCCGGCCTCCTCCGATCGACGCCGGTTTGTGGGGAGACGGGATCCCCTGGTGGTTGACGGCTCCCTAATCCTGCACACGTTTCCTGCCAGCCCTTTGTAGCGGCTTCCACTCCCGGGAGCTGGCAGCCTGCAGGGAACAGGGGCGGAGGAGGCAGGCTCGGATCCGGAGCTGCTCGAGGCCAGGGATGGGTCGGACGTGCTCGTTCCCCAGGTGTGGGAACCAGCCCGACCGGTCCGGGTCCGGGAGAAGGGAGGGGGAGAGACCGGAGAGATCACTGCCCATCCATCCGCCGGGCCGGTGCGCATGCCCAGGCCTCGGGTCCCCGCGGGCAGCACAGCGAGGCGCGCACCGCCCTGGGTATTCCCGGAGAGAAGGGACGCTCCCAGGTTTCATCCGGAGAGAACGGGCAGCTGCTAGGGCGGGATGCAGAATGAGAAGCCTCAGTGTCCACCCTGACCTCGAAGGCGGTTGGGAAGCAGTCTACCAGGCGCTGCTTAGCACCATCCAGAACATAGTGAACGTGGCTTTGCTTGATGAAGTCCTGGGAGATGATAGATCGGGGGAAATTCGCTTGAACAAATGTGTCACCATAGCTGACCGTGCCTTTCCAGCCTTTAACAAACCCCGCAGTTGCCAGGGTGTAGTTATTAAAGTGGGCGGATGCACAAATCGCTTGAGAGAAAGAAACAGTGTAAGAGACAAACACATATTGAAATGAGAGACAGGATGAAAAGCAAGGAAAAATATGATGCCAATTGTAGTCAATAGAATAATGGCCCTCCAGAAGATGGCCACGTCCTAATTGCTAATATCTGTGAGCATGGCGAAAGGGTCTTTGCAGCGGTGGTTTAGTTAGAGTTTGGGATGGGGAGAGTATCACGGACTATCCAGGTGGGCCCTTGAAGTCACAGGGGAAGGCGGGAGGGTTAGACTGAAGTGGAGCCATGAGCCAAGAAATGCTGGGCATTTGCCAAAACAGGTTTGGCTCAGTGGAAAGAGCATCGGCCTGCGGACTGAAGGATCCCAGGTTCGATTCTGGTCAAGGGGATGTACCTTGGTTGTGGGCAAATAGATGTTTCTAACTCTTTATCCCTCTCTCATCCTCTCTATAAAAAATCAATAAAATATATATATTTTAAAATGCTGGGAATCTATTGAATCTGGAAAAGGCCCCTACTTGCTCAATTTAGACTTCTAACCTCCGGAACTGTAAATAATGAATTTGTGTTGTTTTAACCCACTAACTTTGTGGCAATTTGTTGTAGCAGCAATAGTAAACTAATATACCAATTAATCTGACAAGGTAGATTAACAAGAATAATTTTATAGGAAAATACAAACTAACAAAAATAATTCAGGAAGAAATGTCTTAGAAACAAGTAGAACTATAACATTAAAGAAATTAGATCATTCATCATGCTCTACTCACAAGGAAGCACTAGACCATAGCAAATCCAAAGAAATAAATATACATTTATACAAAGTGTTTAGAATAAAATATATATTTATACAAAATTCATTTTGTGAAGCCAGAATATCCTTACTATCAAAATCAATGACAGAAAAAGAGAAAAAAAATATAAGTTTATTTACTTATATTGTTATTCATTTATATACACTGATTAATTAATTCACATGAATTAATTCAGTAAACAAATATTCTGCCCGAGTTATGTAAGGTAGATTAATGAACAAATTAAGGTCTGCCCTCACTGAATTTATATGCTCTTGGAGGAGATAGGCAATAAGCAAATAAATATGTAATGTCAGATGATGGTAAGTACTATGAAAAGAAAAAAAAAATAAAGAGTAAAGGAATACAGCAATTAATGGGAAAAGCTGCTCCTTTATAAAGATGGTAGTGAAAGCCTCTGTAATAAAGTAATGTTTTAGTATTTATACACTCATACCCAAAAATAGCAAAGAAAATTCTGACAAGTTGATTTCAACACCAACTGTTTGTTGTTATTGTTGTTGACTATAGCATTTAATAGGGCTTGTCCAAGGAATGCCAAGATACCTTAACATTTACAACATTTAAAAATATATATTTTATTGATTTTTTACAGAGAGGAAGAGAGAGGGATAGAGAATTAGAAACATCCATGAGAGAGAAACATAGATCAACTGCCTCCTGCACACCCCCTACTGGGGATGTGCCTGCAACCAAGGTACATGCCCTTGACTGGAATCGAACCTGGGACCTTTCATTCCACAGGCTGACACTTTATCCACTGAGCCAAATCTGTTTTTGGCACATTTACAACATTTTAAAAAATAATTAATGAAATTGAGATATTGAAGGAGAAAGATATATTCATCTCAACAGACACAGGGAAAAAAAAAAACTTGGTTAAATTCAACCATCATTATTAAATCTGTTAGCAAACTATAAACAGAGATGTTTCCTTAATATACTAAATGTTAACTAATAAAACACAGCAAAGATCTGTGTAAAATTTGGTTTATTTGACAGGAAATGATAAAGTGGTGGTAAAGAACCTCAAGAAGACAGCATCATTCTCAAAGCGGTCAGATGCAGCTGAGATCTCCAACGTGGAGAGAGGTTTAGGAAAATCCTGGAGGCTGGGATGCCTTCTGTCTGAGATGATCCCTCATTATTCATAAGAAATCTCCTCCTTAACCTGAAGGATGGTGCCTTCCCACTTGGATGACTGCCATGCTCTGGCACCTTAAAAAAAGACTTAGTGACCATGAATAAAATCACAGAGAACTGAAGCCACTCTGTTGGAGCTTGCACAGTGTCCATCACTATCCTTTTGGGAAACACAATTTTCTCATCAGTAAGACAAAGAAACTCATACCTGGTCTCAGCTTTGCTCACTCAAGTTGTTATAATAAGTAGGCACATTTGAAAAGACTTCATCAGTGTACAATATTTGTTTGCTTTTAGGAATTCAACTATTTCTTGCTGTTAGCAAAATTTCAATGCCATCAAGAACATATAAGCCTTGATAAATTAGTCTAAAGACATAAGTTTATTTTATAAGAAAATTTAGAAAGCATTCACTGTCAAAGGAAAAATAAATGTCTTTCAAATCTTTTCCCAAAGCTTATTGCATCTGTAATTACATTTTTTAAATGAAAGTTGTCACAGCTCATCTGTACTCGGAAAATATGGTGGCTAATCATTGTCTGGTTCACATCAGAGGTTATTTGTCTGTAAAAAACTGATTTGAACATGGATTTTTTTGTGTCAGCATGCCACAGGGTTTCTAATATATAATATTGATTTTTTATATACAAAAGAGAACATGTAAATTATTACCTGTCTTGGCATTTCTATACAATCTATTAACTTCACTTACTGTTTGGTATGCTGAAATAAGACATATTACAAAATAAGAGAAATGACTACTTTAAGTTTTAAGATATATCATCGAACAGGAAAAGTGTTACTCAATACTCAGTTTACTTCTCAGATAATTATTCTTTTTTTTCTTTTCTTTTTTTTTTTTGGCTCCAGAGAATACAAATGGACCATTTCTCTGAGAGAAATTCTAACATGCAACCAATAGGTTATTATTTTCTGAGATTCAAAATATGTCTTTATTAAAAGATCGTGGCTGCTTTCTCTATCCGTCCCTAAATTACTAATTGTTAGTTTGAAAGCCTTTTATTGACTATCTTTCCCCTTTGCCACATGTAACAGCCCCTTTCGAATCAATGACAAAAATGGTACTGTTAGAGATAAATCGCCAATATGATTATGTCTATACTCAAAATTCAACTGTAAATATATAATTATATAAAATTTAATATGAAAGAACAAAAATTAAAGTAATCCTTTATTTATGACAGAAAAAAAATGTGTCTGTTGGGCTCCATAAAATACATCTGGACCACTATACCATATTGCATAGCCAAGTGTTTCTTTGTTAACTGGAAAGAAACATGAATGCAAAAAAGAGATAAAATTAAAGATGAATTAACACACATATGCATTCTAACCTATAGCAACTCTCTATGAAAGTAAATGCTCTGAAATGCAGTCTCTCCTTGTGATGAAAATCCATTGAGAAACAAAGATACCAGTTGGCAATGAGCCAGTAAGTACAGCTG